GTCTGTCTGTCTGTCTGTCTGTCTGTCTGTCTGTCTGTCTGTCTGTCTGTCTGTCCGTCTCGCTCTCTCTCTCACTCACTCTCTCTATCTCTCTCTCTCTCTCTCTCTCTCTCTCTCTCTCTCTCTCTCTCTGTCATCAGTACGTACTATTTGACTTGAACCAGAATACACTACTCATATAACTGTATCATCCATTGACTTCGGACGACCCCTGAAATCGAATGAATGCTCAGAGGTTATCTCATTGTGTGACTGTGAGAACAATAGATTAATTATTCACAAAAGAGAACGATAAGTGCGACAGCCTACAGACTATAACAGACGCGGCTGCCTGGTGGGTTCTTGTCCACTTTAACGTGTTTATGTTACACTCACGAAACATAGAACAAATCAAAACAAAATTTACTAGTACTGACAAATGTAAAAACAAATCCATACGGAAGTAACAACAACTGGATAATCAGCAGAGTAACTACAGAACAAGCATGTTTCCAATAATAACAACAACTGTATCAACAGCATACTGCTCAGCATTCCAGCAGCACACAATGACAGACAAGGAACAACAATTGAATTCCACACTGAAACAATAGTGACTTTGAAAAGAACGAGAAAGTCACAACAGATGCAAAGAACAATGAAATGACAGCAGTAGCAAACATATCAGCAACAACATCCGCAACAACAGCATCGACAACGATGAAACGAACAGACATGAATTTACTACCCACAGAGCTCCCTGGTACATCACAAAGAATGCGTCATATACTTATGCTACACTTTAGTAGAAACTGAAAAATCAATGGGTGATTTGAGTGGTCTGTTAATAATAATTGTAAATTGCTTATTTTTAATGAATTATAGCATTTTTACTATAATTGAATGACTGAATGCTCCACCCCTCCCCCAGCCCCACATCCACACACACGCAAGCGCACGTACACACACACACACACACACATACACTCACACACACACACACACACACGCGCGCGCGCGCTCGCCAAACACACACACACAAAGTCTACCTTTTGACTCTCCTACCACCAAGATAACTTTTCTGATAGTTTGTTCCTATCTTTTTCAAAAGTGCAAACATGCACTTTTTCTTTTTCAAGTGGTTCGTTGGTGCTCTAGTACGGTTTTATTCTTCTCTCCTATCGAGCATCGTCCTTTTCACTCCTTTTTCTGTTGCAAGCGCCGTAAAACTCTCACTAAAACAAAGCTTTTCTTCTGGGCTCTTCATTTTCCCTTACCAAGTCCTGCTTTATGTCTCCCTATGCTTTGATGTTTGGTCATGCTGTCTCTGTGTACGCCATACGTATTATGAATTATGATGTAAACTAACACTTTTATACTTCTTTTCCTAAAGGCATGGGTGGTCACAGAAACAAGTTGTGTCATCAAAGTTTCACGTGCCATCCATGGAGGAAAGAAACAGTTTTGTACCATACAAAAAGCCTTGCAGACGCTAAGTGGACAACTCATAATATTGTGTGCCGTCAAAGAAATCCTGTTGTCTATTTGTTTTACTCTTTTTATTTTCAAATATCTCTCCTTTCTCTCTCCTCTCTCTCTCTCTCTCTCTCTCTCTCTCTCTCTCTCTCTCTCTCTCTCTCTTTCTTTCTTTCTCTCTCTTTGTGACTCATCCAGGACATGCAGTAGGGGTAAGTTGATCTTGAAGATTACTTGCTCTATCTTGTCCAGTAACGTACTTGATGTATCCTGTTATTTTGCTCTGTTACACCATGTCTCTTGCTGTTGTTTGTGATCTTACGTAAGATTGTTTGTTATCAGATCATTTTCTTTTGGAAGCGTCTATTGCAGTCATAGTGTATTCTTTGATAATCCATTGACCTTCTTGAACATAGTTATGTCGAATTTAAGTAAGGCCTGAATCATGGTATCACCTATCCCGTAGACTGGATGTCAATCTATGTCGTCAGCAAAAAGAAAATTATCAATCGCTGCGCCCCCAATACTAACTGTTCCTTCGTGATCTTTTAGTTCATATTTCATGATTCTCTCCCCCAAAAGATTGTAAAGAAAGGGGGAGAGCAGACAACCCTGGCGTACTCCCACTATTGTTCGGAACCATTCCCCAATGTTGTTGTTGAAAAAGACTGCGTTTGTAGCTTTGTTGCATAGCTTTTCTCTCCTTCCCTTTCCCCCTCTCTAATCTAAAAAGTTAGTTTATAGTAGGGTTTTGTCTTAGTCAGGTCTTTGAAATATTTCTTCCTGCTTCCTAATTAACCGAACAGAGCTTTTATTGACAACTTATTAATAAATAAACTGTAATTAATACACTCGCATGCATAAAAAAATAAAACAGGTAAATAAAATAAACAAGAATAGAAGCTAAGAGGGATTTACATGTTGTCGACTTTCATTGGTGGAGTTGTTGACATGTAAAAAGAAAGAAAGGGTCATTCAAACACTGATAAATGATGTGGTTGTTCGTTCCGCTGTTGATGAGAATGTGATGGATGTGAAATGGCTGACAGATTTTTGTTCTCATGTGCTCCTGCATTACTCCCCAGAACTTAGAAGGAAAACTTAACTTCAAGAGAGAATGATGTACAACTACAACAGTGGTTCATCTGCCCGTGAGCTCATCAATTGTTAGCAAGGAGATCTTCTTCTGGTAAGTTGCTAAACAAAGAATAATGTAATAATAGCTAACATCGCGCGCGCGCGCGCGTGCGCACGTGTGTTTGTGTGTGTGTGTGTGTGTGTGTGTGTGTGTGTGTGTGTGTGTGTGTGTGTGTGTGTGTGTGTGTCTGGAAGAGAGAGTGAGAGAGAGAGAGTAGAGAGCGTCAAAGCAGAGAACTGTGTGGTAAACCATGATCATTGAATATGTTTGTATCAGATCTGACAAACTGAAATTAAGAAGAATAACAGTAGTCGATTGTTTCAAATTAGGGGAGAAAACAATGGCATCTTTCTGCCGTCTGGCTTACTACACATATCAGTCTTCTCTTGTAACTTTTTCAGTGTTGTTGTTGCTTTTGTTATTTGTTGTTGTTAATGTTGATGTTGTTGTTATTGTCGTCGTCGTCGTCGTCGTCGTCGTCGTTGTTGTTGTTGTTGTTGTTGTTGTTGTTATTGTTGTTGTTGTTGTTGTAGTTTTCCCCTTGCTCTGTTCAACTATAATAGAACCTGTTTCATCTCTCTTTCCAAGAACCGGTATCGGTAGTATACCTGTCTCTCTGAAATGCAGCGTTTATAGCAAAGACTCCATTATTAGTGAGTACTGAAACGTTTTATATGGTCATGGGGTGTATCATTAAAGTTAATCATATTTCAATAACATTACACCTTTAGCTTGCTTTATCCTATTTCTGTAGTCGTCTGGAACTTTATCACTTTCTCTCTCTCTCTCTCTCTCTCTCTC